TAACTACCAAACGAAAAAAATAACCTAACGATCTTTAAAACTATACAAATCGTTGTAAATTAACTTCCAAATATAGGGTCCACTCTCATCATTTGAAAAGGAAAATGTTAAAAAAGTATTAGCAACTAAAATAATAAAAGTAGGGGTGAGATCAAAACGGCAAAATTGGGGAACTAAGGAGAGACGGGGAAGTGGATGAGGCGACGAATAGAAGAATCTTTGCATTTAGGGAGAAAATTGGGATAGAAGAAGAGAAGGACATGGAAGCGATGGATTCCATATGGGTGGTTAGATTTTTGTTATAAATTTTAGTATTTGTTGATGCATGGAGCATCAATGGACATGGTCCAATTTGGATTCGATCGAATCTTCGGGGTTTTAATAAGTGGAACTGTTGAGTCCAAATTTAATTATACAGCTGTTTGGATTCTGTTTTATTTGATCCAATTCAGTTCGGTTCCATTTAGTCCTGGGCTCCATATAGTAGTTAAATTTTTTAGGATCTAAAATACAGCTATATTAATTTAACTAATGATATATTTAATCTTAATTCTTATAAAATATCGTAGTCTAATCTTATATATCTTTTGCACCTCTCTTTGTTGAGTGTTTCATAGATTTGATTGTTAGAATCACGAGAAGAGGAATGTAACGAGCTTACAATGATAAAGAGAGGCATAGTCGTGCTTCCAATTTGATTTCTTCAGAACTATGGAAACGACATTACGGTAAAATAATAGATTTTGGTAAAACTTACATCAATTTGATTAAATTGGATTTGGGGTGGAAATTAGAAATATGAAAATCATATTTAGGGTTTGGGTTAAATTAATTTGTTGGTAAATTTATTTAGATAAAATAAAATAATTTGGCTTATTTAATATAAATAAATTACAAAATTAGGAAGATTCGGTTTTTATTTGGTTATTTGTCTCTTGGTCTGGAGTTGATCGCCAAATTAAACTTGTCGATTCTCAATTCAGATACATGTTCGAGTATTTAACTTAAGAAAAATCGCTAAGTTTAGTTCTGCTCGAGTCGGATCCGAATCGGTTCGATTCGGTTCGAGAGCTTTATCCAACCATAACGTGGAGTTCCAAAAATTCAAAATGGAGGCTATGAAGAATAGCGAAAATAGAGGTTTCGCAATGAGTTAGATTTGTTTTCCAATTTTTACCGTCCAATTTGCTAGCCACTAATTATTTTACATTAAAATGTCATCTATTTTTAGGTGTAAGGAGTAATTAGAGAAATATTGAACATATTAATTTAAAATGATGTGTCAATAATTAACTAAATATACGGCAAATTGGTAAACAAAAAATTGGACAAATGATCTCAACTCTTTTGCAATAGGGTTGGGTGGTTGTGGGTGGTGGCTGTGAAAATAATTGGGAATTGGATACTTTACAGAGAATGGAAAATTTGGTGGGAAGTGAAAATTTTAAAGGGAGGGAAAATCAAATGAGAATAAAAATTGGTAGGTCAAATTTTGCTTTTAATTTTAGAATTTATTAAACTAATTATAAATATATATGTATTTAATTAGTAAAGAATATTTTAAATAATTAATAATCATTTTAATTTTATTTTTTATTAATAATTTTAACATTTATTTAAGTTTTAATATTTAATAGATCTTATCAAATGCAATCCAAAAGATTCCTTCATATATTCGATTCAAAATTACGCCTCATTTGTTTTCCATTATTTGCTCATTAAAATGAAAAATATGACCGTAATTCATCACATCAAATCACCATATTTGATTTTTTTATCAGTTGTGTGGGATCTGTAATGACTATATTTTTCATTCTCATTTTTATATTAATGTGTATTAATCCTAAAAGTTTTGGTTACATATAGTTATGACATCAAATCCTTAAGTTATCTAATATTCGAAATTTATATTTTATTGTACTTCAGTTTATCAAATTCGTTTTTCCTTTTTTCTTAGTCTTTTATTGTACTTCAATTTTTTTTTTTGAATTTAATTCCAAGTTTTTATAAGATGTTATCTGTAAAAAAATTAAAAATGACTTTATCTAAATAGTTAAATATGATTTATGCTATGGTACTATCTTTGTTGTGTAATTACGATTGTTAGACTCATTATTTTGTTGAAAACTTCGAAAACATGTATAAAGTTTCTATAAATTTGTTAAAAAGGATTTGTCTAAGTGAAAATTGAAACTATAAAAAACAGTCTAATTTTTGCATTTCGAAAACATAAAAATTGTATGATTGACTAATTGTAGGATTTATTAAATAAATATATGATTTTATAATTTTAGATGTTTGATATATATTATTTTAATTATTAAATAATAAAAAATAATTAAAAAGTCAAAATATTATTAAAAATAAGAAAACACTTTTGTACCCTTAAGCCTTGTCTAGACTTGTTTAAACTCGTAAAACTTGAAACTTTAACTCCACACCTAGCCACACTTCACGTTGTTTAGAACACTAATAAATTATGACCTATAAAATTTTTAATTTGTGATTGTGTAATTATTTGTGACTTATATAATTTTTAATTTGAGACTCGGAAATAATTTGTGAATGATTAATTTGATAATTTCTGATCAAATTGAATAAAATTGTGAACTTAGTATATTTTATTAATAAAATGTATTTTTAATTAATTATTTCAAAATTAAAATTAATTAATATATGATTTGATGTTTTAAACTTTATTTTTTAGTTTTGAAAATTGTCATACTTAATCTCTTAAATATGAAACCAATTTTCGGTTTCAATCTTTTGAAGCAATTTTTTTTTCTATTTTTTTTTTTAATTTTCACCCAAAATAAGACCAACCGATCTAGCCACCCGTCAATTTGAGAAATTGTCTCATATTGAAAACCAAATTTGAAATTTCAAATCCTTTTAATCCCAAATCTTTCCCCAGCCAACCGTCCACCGGAGCCGTCGAGGCCGACCACAAACTGGAGTCTCTGTACTTTCATACATTTTTTTCTTTTCTTCTTCCCCTAAATCTATGGGAAAAACGTCAATTGAAGGTTGAAAATTAACGAGTACTAAATTATACCAGAGACACATTATGACAATATGCTTCTTGAATTAAATTGAACTCACAATTAGAAGGGGCACGTGGGAATGCTATTTGATCTACCTAGACCAAAATGGTAACACGGTGTCGCATGCCACTTTCCGGCTAGTCGATTTTGCTTGTTTCTCGTAAATTTCAGGACTTCCTCTACAATTTCACCTAGGGCAATTTTTGGCCATTTAAATACCATTATTTGTCACTTTTAGGGCAATACTCATAGTCATAGAAGAACACTTAAAAAAATATTCAAGGAGAGAAGAAGCAAGAAGAAAGAGAGAATATCGATCAAAATTTGGGAGTTTGAAATGTATATTCAGATTTCAATCCCTCATATCTTCAAGAATATATTCATGGAACGTTTTTCATCCACAATCTTGTATTTTTATATTATCTTCTTCATTTTGCAATGTATTCTTTCTTTGTTTCCTTTTTATTCTATTTTGCAGTGGGCTAAGTGTTTAATGATGGGAGTTATGGTGTAACTTGACCCAAGTTTCATTAATGTCAATATTCATCATTTAGTACTTTAATTACTATTGTTACTGTACATTTATTTTTGTGCTTAAATTTTTATCCTGTATGTGGCCAATAGTTGATTGGGTTAGGTGATTTGTGCAATTATTGAGAGATTGTTGCGTATTCTTGATCAAAATAATTAATGGTGTAGGTAGTTTTAGGAGTTAGATATATAGATAGATATATACTTCAAACCCTAGAAGGCCAATTGAGATAATACATTACAAATTTAATGTGATTGGTTGGATTTTTATCAACATAAAGATATAGTGGGTAAAACCAATTGATTGAGGTTAAACTCGCTCGAGAAAGGTAATTAAATAAACTTGGAAAAGGGGGTCTAACACTCTAACTTGGTAGTTTGCATTTCCAATTTATTGAGATATTAAAGAAACAACAGTTAAGTGACACCGTAAATTCCAACTCATTTATAATTCAAATTTCCTTCTCTTTCATAATTCTTTCTTTAATAGATCTTCAAATCCATTTTCGTTTCCTTTTCACATTTAATTAAAATTGAGTCAATAATTGTGTAATTAGAAAAAATACTCCTCGAGGTTTCGATACTTGGACTCACAAGTCAATTTTATTAGTTGCACGCACCCATGCAGTTACGGTCGTTATTTAATTTTACATTTTTCAAAATTACTTTTTTAAATACTTCTTTTAAATTGTTCCATTTATATATTTGGTTTATTCTTGAAACTACCGCAAGAAGTTTCAATTTATTGTGACTTTAATTTTCCACTCACTTTAACATTGCAACAAACTACCCAAGCACATACTTCTCTTGACCTTTAACAACTTGAATTGCATTTTATGTTGGAGTATAAGTTGATTTAGGATTCTTCATTTTCATGTCGGATTGTTGACTACTTATAATATTGTTAATTGTTCGATAAGTTGTTAAATTGTTGCTAATTGATTATTTTTGGGCTATAGAATGCTGAAGTGTTTGAAGTTTTCATGCATTTAGATTTTAAAATGAAACAAAATCGACTTTTCTGAATCTACTTTGACTATATTAATGCAAATTCTATAAGTAAATCCTTATAGTAAATTTTTTAGGTCTTTAAGTAATATCACTAACTTGTAACATCATCGAATACAAATAAGATGCGATCCAAGAGTTGATCAAAGAGTTTTCAATACTCCTACAACATCTCAAGTAGCTGTTGTATGAATTGAAGATGATGAAAATGCAAATATTCGTGTTCGTGATATTACTATATATGGTCATTCCGCTGAATCACACAAAGTTCATTATTATTATGGTTGTTATGATCCTTTGCAATATCCTCTGAACTTTCCATATGGAAAATCTGGTTGGCATGAAGGTATTGAAAGATATAAAAGCCCATTATTTTCATCTCAACAATTGCCTGACTTTGTAGCTCTTCCTAACACAATGAATTCTGCAACAGAACTTCTTGAAAAAGAGGATGCAGGTTAGCAGATACACATTTAAGTTAATTTAATATTTTTTGCAATTTGAATGCTTCAAATAATAATTTATTATTTTATTGTTATGTGATGTAGTGCTTAATAAAACAGGGAAACGATCTCAAGTCTCCTGTCGAGAATACTATTCATACAAATTTCAAATCAGGTCTCCCGGTCCGTTCCTATTACTTCATACTGGTAGATTATTCCAATAACATGTTGTAGATATGTATGTGAAGATTGAAACCACTAGATTAGATTATTTTCGTAATAACAAAAAAAAAATATGTGCTGAACTTTATCAAGGCATTGTAGATAGTGTTAAAAATGAAGAGACAAGGGGGTACAAAATTGAAAGAAAGTTTGTTCTATCACAATCTTTTATAGGTGGCACTAGAGATTTGTTAAAGAGATATATGGATACGATGACTATCGTACAACGTTATGGAAAACCGGACATATTCTTAACTGTAACTTGTAATAATGGTATTCCTATTAAAGTTAGAGGTCAAATGTTAGACAATCGTTGGATTGGACCATACAATCCTTATTTAAGTGCTAAATTTGATTGTCATATTAATGTTGAAATATGCTTTTCTATTAAAGTTGTTAAATATCTCTATAAATATGTTTATAAAGGTCATGATCATATTAATTTCTCTATTGACACTACCGAAACAAACAAAGAAATTGATGAAATTTTAGCTTATCAGTATATTAGATGGATATCTCCCCCTGAAGCATGTGGAGGATTTTTTCTTTCGATTTATCTGATATTTATCCATCTGTTTATTCTTTACAACTTCATATTGAGGATCATCAACAAGTAACATATGCCGATGAGGATGATTTGTTTACTATTATTCAGAAAGAAAGTACGAGGAAAACTATGCTAACTGAATTTTTTCGAATAAATGAAATCAATGAATTTGCTCGTACATTGTTGTATCAAGATTTTTCAAAACATTTTGTTTGGAATGGAAATAGCAAAGTTTGGACTCTTAGGAAGAAACATGAAGCATGTTGTTATAGGATGAATTGTTACAGCTAATCCTTCTAAAGGAGAATAGCATTTTCTTCGTATTCTTCTTAATCATATTAGAGGACCAATATCCTTTCATCATTTATGAAATCTAATTGGCATAATAACTCCAACATATCGAGATGCAGCACTTCTACATGGTTTACGAAGTGGAGACAATCATTGTGAAGAATATATATCTAAAGCTCTTTTGTATGAAATGCCAACTGCGTTAAGATGTCTCTTTGCTACACTTCTTACGTTTGCAACCCTAATCATTCAAAGCTATTGTGGGATAAGTTTAAGGTCTATATGATCGATGACTACGTACATCAAAATATACCTACAAACATTGTTGAAATGCAAGTTTTAAAAGACATTAGTTATATTTTGGAATCATTGGGTAAAACCATAAATGATTATGCAATGGTGTCATTCAATGTAAATATAGATGAAATTGAAAGGTCGAGAAGTATGGTTCAAGAGGAGACAACTAATTTTGATACTCAAGGACTGCTTGTGAGGCAACATTAAACAAAGAGCAATGATTTGCATATGATACTATCATGGAAGAAGTGAAATCAAATTCGTATGGGGCTTCTTCATCGATGGTCTAGGTGGAACTGACAAACCTTTTTATATAGAGCACTTTTGGCAGGTGTATGGTCACAAAATTTAATTGCTTTGGCAACAGCATCATCTGGAGTATCTGTATCTCTTTTACCTGGAGGTCCAACTGCTCATTCAAGATTTAAGATACCTTTGGAAACAGTCGGTGAAATATGTTGTTCTGTTAGCAAACAATCGGCATTAGGAACTTTGTTGAAAATGTCTAGGTTAATTATTTGGGATGAAGCACCGATGGTCAATCGTTCTGCTGTAGAAGCTGTAGATAAAATACTAAGAGATATTACCGACTGCAATTTACTCTTCGGTGGGAAAGTTGTAGTTCTAGGAGGAGATTTTTGTCAAATTCTCCCAGTTGTACGGAAAGGGAAAAAGCATGATATAATGAAAGCTAGCTTAATTTTTTCAGACTTGTGACCTTTATATAAGCATCTACCATTGATTGAAAACATGAGGGCTAAACTGGATCCTACATTCTGTAGTTACTTGCTAAGATAAGAATAGGAGATGGACTTGAGAGCGAACATATTTGTAAATGCATCAATCTTCCAGAAAGTATAGTTTTACCATTTGAAGATGAAATAACATCCTTAACAAAATTGATACATCATGTTTTCTAGATATAGAAGCATATTCTGATAATCTCCATGTAATGGAAAATAGAGTTATTCTTACACCTACAAATGAATGTGTTGATCAAATTAATAGAATTGTGCTTGAACAAATTTCGGCTGAAATTTACACGCTATAGTTTTGATGAAGCGATTGATAAGTCAGAACAAAGCTTGCAAGAAGATTTTTTAAATAGTCTAACCCCAAATGGTATTCCTCCTCATGAATTAATGCTTAAGATAAAATGAATATTAATCCTTAGAAGAGTTATGCAACGGAACACGTCTTACTTGTCGAAAATTTGAGAAGAACGTAATTCTTGCTGAAATTACAATTGGTGAATGTTGTAGAAAATATGTTTTCTTGCCAAGGATCCCTTTTATACCTCTAAGAAGTGATCAAATGTCAATTCAATTTAAAAGAACTCAATTCCCAATTAGGCCATGTTTTGCAATGACAATAAACAAAGCACTGTGTCAAACACTAGATTTTGTCGGTTTATATCTTCCACAACCAGTTTTTTGTCATGGTCAACTATATGTAGCATTATCAAGGGCAAAAACAAGCAAATCTATCAAAGTTTTACTTAAGCCAATAAATAGTCACCATTTATATGATAGATGTTCCTCAAATATTGTATATAAGGAAATTCTTTCATTTATACACATGTAAGTTTACAACTCTTCATATTTTATTTTTCCTTACAACTTAACATAATCCACTTTGTACAAGATGCAATTTAATATAATCAAAATACATTATTGTATCGTGAAAAGTTATCTACGCTGATCTTCGAAAAATATTTAATATAAAAACTTTATACTCTTTTATTCATTTTCCTTCCATTTATTATTCTTATTGTACTCATTGTTTTCATTATTGTTGTTTCTTCTTCTTCATTTAAAAAAAAAAAAAAAACACTATTCCCTTCTCTTACTTCTTAAAAGTATTTTTAAATTTTTTCTTATGCAGATGATTTGAAAGACTTTCTGGGTTGATACTACCAGTTCTATTCTCTCATCATGACATTTTCATAGGTAAATTTTTTCTCGAATTAACTTTTTAATTCTTAGATGCAAATATACGTAAATTCAAATATTTTATCAACTCTTAATGGTATATTTTTACTTTATAAGCAGTAAGTTTCTATTGCAGTTTTTGGGTATTTAAGTTAAATGATTACATATATTTATGGAACTTCAAAACTGGCAAGTAATGTAAGAATACTCAATCATGTAATGCAAGAACACTCATTCATGTAACATAATTGATATAAATGTTGAGAAATTGAAGGCATCGTGAACATAGTAAGATTAAAAAAAAAAATCATTTCATTCTTTCATTGATCATACTTGAATTCTATATTGTGTTGTCATATGCAAAACTAAATATTGTTTCTTATGCACATCCTTCCAACTATAAAATTCTAGAAATGAGTTTAAGCCAATCACCAATCATACATATTCTTCGATATTACAAGGGGGTTCCCCACAATAATTCTCCATGATGAAGGTCGGATGATATAAATGGTCACTATGCTTTTGCCGTTAGCAAGAATTTAATCCCTCATTGTAAATGTACTTTAAATACTTAAGGGAATACATTGGGAAATTGCTTAAATGATAATTCTTATTATTACTTTTGTTGGAGCTTCTTCTCAGCATGCTTATTGAACACCTTTCTTGTATAGTTTGTGCACTTTGTCGAAGATATTAGGGGATTATGCCATTGTTTCTTACATTCACTTTTGTAGAACAGAAATCCTTATATTATAACACTAACTTTTAGATTAAAGTTTGTATCTGCATATAGATTAGGTTAATTTCATTTAAAATTAACTATGCTGTTACCTCTTCATTCTCCACTTTAGCAAACTAACTTTAATATGATAAATTTTAAGTCTTATTGTACAAGAAAGAAATGACTTGAAGCAAATATATCTAATTTACTATAATAAGTACATCTCTAATTTACTTTAAGAAACATTTAATAAAAAAAAATATAGTATATGTTAAACAAATATCTATGTTTTTGTGGAGCAATAATGAAGATAATTGGGTTCAACATTTATCTTGGAATTCATATAAATTTATTTTCACACAATCCTACTACGTTTGTAGATTCAACTCTCACATATTTGATGTTTCTTATGACCAATGTGTTTTTGTGTCCCCCCTCCTTTGGCTATATTTAATCTTTTTTCCCCTTAATTGAGAGATATAATGCCTACCAAAATGGGTGAAGATTGGCTGTTTCTCTACTATTTGATTGTTTCCTTAGCTCCCTATAATTGTTAGTTCGTTCATTTTTAATAACCTGTTCATATTTAATTGTATCTGTCCCATCCATTGATTAATTGCAAGGACTTTTGGACAAATTCCTAAATGTTCGGACAATGAAAAGAGTTGGTATCTCAATCAATCTGTAAAAGATTAACCTAAAAGTTAGCATTTTCCATAATTCGATCTATCAACTTAGAATCCTCTGAATTGTTCCTCGAATATTCCAAACACAATTTACACCCACCCACCAATCAAATATTTTACTAGAATAAAACTATGATTGCTGAAGGGGTAAAAATAATTAATTATGGTTTGCTTCCCAAATATAGAGTTTATTACAAAAAGTAATTATTGATACTTTATATATCTATTATGTTAAATATAGTTGTTAAAGTTGATCTTTTTTTTTTCTTTTTTTTTTATGAAAAAAATGAAATTTTTCAAGAGTTGGAAGGATCGGTCGTTTGGTTGCAAGAGTTGCTCTACAGAGGGATGATGTAGAACTTATTACTGTTAATGATCCATTCATCACCACTGACTATATCGTATTATTTCTGCCTACCTCAATGTACATAAATTTTCTCTATTTTTTTATTTTAATCTGACAAAAACATTGTGCAGACATCTATGTTCAAGTATGACAGTGTGCACGGGCACTGGAAGCACAGTGAGGTGAAGGTCAAGGATAAAAAGATGCTTCTTTTTTGTGATAGTCCAGTTATAGTTTTTGGGTTTAGGTTGGATTTTAATTTTTTCTGTGTAAATTCTTGAAAACTAAGAAAAATTATTAGAATTCGTTTTCTAATGATTGGTAAATTTAGGAACCCTGAGGAAATTCCGTGGGCCGAAACTGGTGCCGAGTTTGTGGTTGAGTCTACTGGAGTTTTCACAGACAAGGATAAAGAGGCTGCCCTCTTGAAGGTCTTTTATTGATCTATCTTCTATTATATGTTTGGTATAGACGATTGGATGCTATTAATTAATATTAATGGAAAAGAAGAAGCTAAATCTTGTGATTATGCAGTCCAGTTTTATCCATTACTCTTATCAAATGTGTAACGAGCTTGCACTAATGAAATATTTGTAAGTATGTTTATGTTTCAATTGCATTACCATCAGAATTTGTTTAAGCCATTTAGACATTTCTCTGTCTTGTTAATTTTGTCCTTGTACTTGGTGTGCTGATTATCTGGTTAAATTGATAAGCCATTTTTGTATAAATTCTTGAAATACTAACAATTGTTGGGGTGCAGAAGTGTTTTTATCTCTTCAATATTTCTACTGAAACAACTGTTTTAGCTTAGCCTAATTACTATTTCTTCTTTGCAATCGTGTACAAATACAAATTGTCAACAACTATCGTAATCATATTTCTATTCTAAGTGTTTATTATAATTTTCAATTCCCCAAATTTGAAAGTGTTATGTTATTACTTCTTGCTCGAATATAGTACGAGTTAAAACCTTGCGGATGTATTCAAATAGTTTTAACAAATTTCTGAGAAGTTTTATCCAAGCTTAATACAATTTTTCACTAAAAAACAACTATCGTTCATTTCTCATTAATTTTGTTCATGAGTTTAGCAGACAAGTATGTAGACATATCTTTGCACCAGTAGCTACATTGTTATCATTCAGTTCCTACATTCATCAGAATTGATATCTCATTCAGGTATCAATTGGCATTTACATCTATTTTTATTGTTTACCTTTTAATTTATAGATTTTGCCCAGTTTATTTTACTTTTATTTGCAGTTATACATCTCCTGCATTTGATTCACACTGATCTAAAACCAGCAAATATTCATCTTATTTCCTCAAAAGTATACTAAAATGGTACGTTATATGGTGTATTCCTCTAGCTCATTCCTTATTTTTCATTCTATTAAATCAATTTTACAATTGTGCTAAGTGAAAAAAATATAAAGCAATTTTTCATCATTACAATATCTGAATTTGATTGCTAAAAGTTGGGATTAATGCTAGGCTTTGGTTAACTTTCTTGTCTTCTTCATAGTTTCATTTAGTTATATTTTATTGGTCAAGTTTTTATCTGACATCATAGCTATATGTTAACTTTAATATAAAGTGTTCGTTAAAACATTCAATAAATGACTAATGTGTCTAATCTTTGTTTTAAGTCAAATGACAAAATCTTATTGATTAGTAATATGGTTGATGTAGGAGAGAGTGAAAAACATGATTTAATGGAAATAATTTTGTGAGTATAAAGTTAGTACACCATTGTTTAATATAGATTCTTTTTTATTCTAAAAAATAATTTATTTTCCCTTTAAGAAATCGTTCAAAGTTTTACTTATATTTGAACTCCTTTGATTATAATATATCCATTCTTCTATACTCTCTTAACCAATACCATATAAATGATGAATGAAATTTTCTTTACTTACAAACTTCATCTCAAAGATCTGTTATGTTGCTTATTAACTTTTATGGCAATGTAGTAGCATTACAAAATTAACAAATTGCATTCAAGCTACACCGTCTTATCTAATTGAAAAT